CACACACACATATCCCTAACTGTTTCCATTTTTTCCAGGTCGTTCATCTTTGAGGTCATCAGCTGTGTGGCAACTTTCATTATCATTTTACGAGACATGCAGACCTACTTTAGAAGTGATGGTTTTATCAAGTGTTTGCTCGGTTATTAATTTATTTTTAAAGTCGTTACGAATTTTCTCAACTAATGAAGTATATAATTCAGTGAAGGTTATCCCCTTCACCTAGTGTACGTCTAAAATATTTATGCTAGGTACTACTGGACTGTTGAATAAGTCTTTCGGATAAGAAAATTATGGCTTTACCCAGCCGAAGAAGCCTTTGTTTTAACCCCTATTGATCTAGTAAAGGTTGCTAATATGTAGTACACGTGGTTCGCAGGGTAAATGTATCATTATGTCATCCGAAGTCAGAATAAGTAGATCTCAGTTTGTTTGATGAATTTTTTGTGTTTTTTAAACTGATTTTGATGATTTCCAATGAATTTGTTTGCTCCACTGTCAGTGGTAGATAAATATTTTATAATATGTGAAAGTGACAATTCTTTGTACTGTTCCCTAATAAAGTGAGTGGTGAATGTACCAATTTCTCAATAATGATACTTAATCTTCGTATCCTGTCATTGCACTCTGCAACATTTTATGAAATTCTAAGCCAAATTAAGGATTGTTGATGATCGCGTGTCAAAGTTAACTTATTGTAAATACACTTAAATCCGATGTTTCCCTTAATAGAGCGATTGGAATAAATCTTGTAACTTCTTCATGAGTAATCATGAACTTCTGTCTCTGTGAAAAAGTTAAAGTTCCTTCTTACATAAATTGAGGAATGGTAGATATATAACCCAGTTGTATTAATCATATTATTTTAAATCTTTCTTACAAGATGTTCATCTTCAAAGAAGAAGTACATCTTGTACACAACATAACTTTTTTTAACCCAGTCCTCTATTGACTTTTAATGTAAAAATTGATCGGTCCTCCACTCCCATGTGCATAGGCGTTCAAGTATTTAACTGATTTTTGATGTAAGAGTTTCAGATATTTTGTTTGATCTTCAGAAAAGAGTCATCAGAATGCTCAACAATGTAGGATAGTAAGATATATATACCTCAAATGAACATTAGTATCTAGTTGGAGCAATAAGTGTAACAGTGAACACAAAGATATGGGGAAGGTATGCGAATATAAATAATATTCAATTTCAATGAGGGTTTTATTACGAGCATACAAATAAGAACTGCCTATAATGCAGAAACAGGTGCCGGATAAACTGATATACTAACACTACTACAGAGAAACATCAAAACACCTGTGTGAGCTTCAAACACGTACTACAAAGAGGGTACAAGGGTATCAGAACTTATCTCAAAGAGACACTCGATTAAACAATAGATAACAATGTGAAAATCAAATAAATAACTTCAAAATCAATAAAAAGTAATAAATGAATGTGTTTTGACCAAAAAACCAATCTTATTTCTTTTGAATATCAGCAGTGTGAATAGTATTTCTAGGTTGTTGTTTCTTAATTCGAAACCTTACCCGCAATTAGAATCGAAAAATCTTTGTGTTGAACTTGTTTACATGGAGTGTCGAGGCAAACGGGGACGCCCCGTTTGTCCGACAAGTTATTTGTCCAACAGCCTTATTTAAGTAAATAAATTAAATAAATAAAGTATTACAACAACAGGGAAAGGGCTCGTTTCACTTGTCCGACAGCTGGAGTTGCGTTTCAAACTTGATTAGATACTAGAATAAGTATTTCCTGCAGTAGGGTTCACTTTCTGGAACTACAATAAGTTGT